CTCTCACCCAGTTGTTCTCCGCCTGTGTGGCGCATCAGGCTCACCAGGGGCACTTGTTAAAGATGATCAGGAAGAGGGTCCCATTGTCAGAGATCCTGATTCCTTAGGTTTAGGGTGGGGCCTAAGCACTCCTTTATCTAATGCATCACTACATGATTCTGATGTCTATTGGAGTTTTGAGAACTATTTTTCTAACACTAGCACCAAACTCAAAACCCAATTCCATATGGAAACTTCTAGGCACCTTCATTTTATTTTCCTTATCGCTTAGTCAGTGATGGATCTAACTGGTCACTTATAACTTCTGCCTCAACTACCTTTCTCCTAGACATTCCAGAAACTGGCTTAAGAAACAAAGAGGACACCCCTGGGATAAGGTTACTGTGTGTATTTTTATTTACACATTTTGAAAAAAGAAAATTAATGGAAACTTCACTTATCTCTTTCATGTAGAAAATTTTATTTTATTTTATGTCAGGTTTTCAATAAAGTCATAATACAAAATGGCATTACTCTTTCCTTATTTTTTTACACAAATCTATTAGAGATGCATTATCTTATTAGAAGTGATGAATTATTAATTATCTTTTTTAGAATTTCCTTTTCCTTAAGTGTTGATAGGTAACTAGAAGTCTAATAAAGGAATAAACAAGCAGAATTAGTCAGTGGAACGTCATCTCTTGCTCCATTTTGGTCTTCAACAGTAGAGGATGTGCCCAGCCTGGCAGGCCCAGGAAGTTTCTGGGAAGAAGTAGTTCTGGCTCATATTGACACCTGAGGATTTCAGGTCTGAAGACCATGGGAAATCTCCTGTCTGTTTAGCTCAGTGATCATTCAAGATGGCAAATTCTTGAGGGATCCTGCGTTCATAGGTATCACTGATATCTCTCAAATCGAGAATCTGAGGGAATCAAGAGGCTGTAGTTTGGGCCTTATATTAAATTCTTAGGGCTGCTGACTGCATGGCTTAAACAACAGAAATTTATTTTCTCACAGTTCTGGAGGCCAGAAGTCTGAGATCAAGATGCCGGCAGGGTTGGTTCCTTCTGAAGGCCACGAGGGAGGGTCTGTTCCAAGCCTCTCTTCTTGGCTTGTAGATGGCCTCTTCTTCTTGTGGCTTCATCTTCCTTTGTCCGTGTGAGTGCCTAAATTTCTTCTTCTTAAAAGGTCACCGGTCATATTGGATTAGGACTCACCCTACTGACTTTTTAACTTAATCATCTCTAAAGATCCTGTCTCCAAATACAGGCACATTCTGAGTCAGGACAACTTGGGGATGGGGGGGAGGGGACACAATTCAGCCCCTAACAGTTCTGAATCTCCTGGGCTAGATGCCTCACCATGGACCAGTGGCTTCACTAGTTTGAAGCATAGCCGCCTCTATCCGATAAGGGGTTTGGGTTAGGTCGTGTATAAAGTCCTTTCTGCTCTAAAATTGTAAATGTAATGAGACACCAACTTTCAGTTTAAATGTTAAGAATCTGAGGAATTAGCTGGAAGTTTAGCTGGTGTCAACACTACTATCAATACCCTTTTTTCCCCCACTCATTTTCTTTCTACCATATTCCCAAGAGCCCCTGTTCTTTGTGTTACCTCTTAGCTGAATTCTGAAAGAAGATCTGTGTGACTGGGGGAAGGGACACTCTTTTCTCTAGAATCCCATAATGCATCTATTTTCATCAGTCGATTTGAAATTCAGAACCAGGGGTGAAACTGTCCACATTCAATTTGAGATGTCAAATTTTCAAATAATTCTTTTAACATGCATGTTAATGACTTTTGAATTAATATTTTATTTTATTAAACTTGTATATAAGGGTAACTATTGTATAATAAGGTATACTTTTAAAAACATCTGGTTTATACATAAAGTAATATTTCTGATATTTTAAGATAAATTTCCCAGAGCTTATATGTGTGTCTTTTTCTTCTCAAAATAGTCTATACGGGTGCCTACACAATTCTGCATTATTAGAGTTTTTTCAGTCAGTTTATAAGCCACACAACAAAGGTCAGCCCATGTCCTCTCTAGGGGTATAAAAAGAGACAGCATTGTGAGAAATATATCTGTTCATTCATAGTTCTCTAACAGCACAATGAGATCCTTAAATTATGAGATGCTTTTTTATCTTATTGTTTCATTGGCAGCTATCAACTTACTTGTTGCATTTTGGACATAGGAATCTATTAGGGAGTAGCTAATAAAGTATACTTCCCTGGTAAGTATTCTTTAAGAAAAATAAATCAAAATTTTAGCAGAGACAGATGGATTTCAGCAGAGACAGAACTTAATACAAACCATAGTTACCAGTTTGTGGTGATTTGTATAACGTAGCTTTCAATTTCATAAATTAAATGTTTCCTTTAGTGTGATCCATCTTTTTGTCCAATAATTTTATTTAAAAAATGAAACAGAATTTTCTTTATCATCAAATAACATTGCTGTTATGAGTGATGATATATTTAGTCTCAGTGGATGAAAGAAAAATAAAATAGTTTTGATTCTACTAGTTTAAGGACATATGTCCAAATTAAATACAGGTTAATGTTAATGATGTTTGATTTCATAAAATTATAAGGCTACCAAAAAGAGAAAAAAACCCTCAAAATTTATATGAAGGATTAAATGCTAATAATTCAAAAATTTAGAAATTTTTTTCCACCTTTCAAATACTTGGTAGGTTGCTATTTTCAGTTCACTACCATCATTATCCAGCTTTTCTTATCTTATTGAAAAAGAATAACACGAGTAATAAATCAATGTAGATCTTTAAGCTTAACACAATCCTGCTACCTCTAAAGTTTTCCCTTGTAACGTTTTTTATTATACAATGAACACATATGCATTGCAGAAAAAAAGAGGAGTTAGGCAAAGTGAAGAAAAAAAAATCACTCATAGTCTTGACAACTAGAAATAAACACTATTAAATTTCGATGTGTTAAAAGACAATAAAATCATGCTGAAACATTTTTTTTTTTCTGGGAATGTTTTTCCTTTATCCCCTTCTACTTCCTTCATTCCTCACCTGCTAGGATGGAATTGTCTGGAACACCATTATACTCCCTCATCAAGAGGGCATTTTTTTTTTTTCTGCAGTAGCTTAGCACAACGATCATATTGACAAAACTCCCTTGTGAGCTTTGATTAGAAGTAAAAACCCTCTTCCCCAGGGCCGTGGTAGCTCTTGCTGCTGCCTCACCACGTGGCAGCAACCCACTTGCAGTCAGGGCGATGCCTGTGCTCAGCACCGAGAAATCTCACGGTCTGTTCTAGGCATCTGTTTACTCATTCTTGCCATGCTGACGGCTTCCATTTCTCAACGCCCAATTTTTTTTTTTTAAAGTCTTTTCCTGTTTGTTTTGAACTTCAAAGAGAACAGAAAAAAAAAAAAGGTGTGTTTTTTTGTTGTTGTTGTTGTTAAACTTTTTTCAAGTCCGAGGTCATATATGTCTGGGGCCAATTGCCACACGGACTCTTTGGACAAATCCTGAATGAGAGTCTGAATTTCTTCCAGGTGTTAGTTTAATTCAGTCCCTGAGATGTTACTGTATTTGTAACTGCCACGTTAGATCTGGAGAACGGTCCACAGTTCCTGGGAAGGCGAGGAGAGCCTGTCACACTGGGGTGGCACAGGGGCAGGGGGTTATCTTCTGGGTCTGCCTGTTCTTGCATCATTTCTTCTATTTTGTAACCTGGTTAGCCACGAAAAATGATTCTTCACTGATGCTGCAGATGATGAATAAAATATCCAGTTTTCTCAGTTTCTCATTATCTGATTCAAGGGGAAAACTCTCATGTGTCCCTATTAAAGAGGTTTAAAGAGATCAAATGCAAAGATTCTGATATGGGATGGCTTCCAGTTCCTAACTATTTGTGCATTTCAGATCCTCACCCCTGCAAAAGACTGCACTCTTGGTCACGGCTGTTTTAAAAAATTCAGTGCCCAAACTGGAAGGAGGGAATCGCAAATTCAGCTTTTTCCCAAGCTTCAGGGCTGGTGAATTTTGCCTTCTCTGCCAGCCAGAGGCCTGGGTCTTGCTACAGTTTTCCCAGACTAGAGAACTTGGGGCTGACTTCCAGTTCTCAGAGAAATCCTGCCAAACACCTCCCCTTCCCCCAACATCCATTCGTTTTGAAAGTTAATTGTATAATTAACATGCAGTCCTCTTGCCAACAATTGTCTGAAAATAAATTGAGTTGTTTGTATGCCTAGGTGGAGTAAAAGTAATTAGGAAACTATTTTACAAATTTGAAACATAGCCCAGATTTGGGCCAGGAGTGCTGGGTCTGAGTCCTCTCTTAGCTACTCTTAATTGTGGGTTATTGGACAAATCATTTCTCATGCTCTGGGCTGCTTCCCTGGGCACTTGACCATTTAAACCAAGAATTGTGGACCTACTCATAATATTGTCTCCTAACTGTTGGGTGAAATTAGCGTACCAAGGAGTATAGGGTGCTATACCCATAGGGGACGCATGTATGTACACAAAATTAGATATTAATTTTTGGTAGCAGAACTGGGATTCAAACCACAGTTGTTTTGAAAATTCTTTTTTCCTACTGTATTATGCTGCCCCTAACTGGAACTTTCATAGTAATAATACTGCTTATTGGGCACTTATTTGTTATGTGCCAGCTACTGTGTTAGAAACTTTAAGTGCATTATTCAATTTAATCGTCACAATAAACCTATGAGGAAGAGGTTATTTCTACTTTATAGATAAAGAAACAGATTTGGAGAATTTAAGTGATTTTACCCACAAGCACAGGGCGGTAAGTGGAAGCCAGATTGAGCAGAGTGTTGGATGCCACCGTCCGTGATCCCATGTCTAGTGAGCGCTGCACTGCCATGCAGGTGATCGGTCAGCTCTTTTCCTGGAGACAAGTCAGCAAGCCCCACGTTGACTTTGCGTGGGCAGAGCCCATACTGCACTGTGTGTGGGTTACACCTGTTGACCACATTGCTTAGTTCAGAAATCAATAAAATTCTCTTCATGCCTTTCTTTTACAGGTACTTACCTTTATTGCCGGATTATTGTCCAGAACTATTAATGCCCAAATAACTGAAATCAACTCTAAGGAGTTGGAATTGAGGAACAGTGATGCTCAGTACTTGAGCCAGTCGTGCCAACAGCCCTGTCTTCCTGGTATGTTACGCAAGACATTCAGAGATTAGAATGAAAATCAGAGTGAAGAGTGATACCTCGTCATAATGCATACAATAATTTCTACAGCTTTTAGTTCTCCTGTATTATATAGCATCACTGAAAAAAAACTATGAAATTATTTTCCCAAGACCAGTTTTATTCATCTTTATCACACTCATTCAATGTGGTTATGAATAAATATAATTTGCAAATGCCACACATGTCTGAAATGAGAAGAAGATTTTTCTATTTATCTCCAATTTTTAATGAGCAAGAAAAGGCTCACTTGCAAATATTAAAGCTTATCATGTCAAAAGTTTAGGATCTGTCAACATAATAGTGGACCTCTGAAAGCAAGCGACTTACACTCTTATGGGATTTGTCTCAGCACTTCCCTTCAATCAGAAGGTCTCTAAGAAAACTATTTTTCCCGGCACCAAAGCCTGCAAAATATATTTGCATTTTTTTAGCTGAATAACTAGATGAACTAGAAGAGCAATGGACAGAAACCAACAATTTTTTAAAACTTGGTATTTTGCAATGCAAACCAATTTCAGATCGGAAACCCTTCAAACACTTGCAAGTTAGAGCTAAGCAGAATGCAATTTTGCAAACTTTTTTTTCAACTTGGAGCAGAGTTGGCTACCACTACATACAGTTATAGATCTCTCCCAACTGCATGTGATGTAAAACAGGAAAGTAAAGGAAAACAGCACATGGATTCATGCTATAAAATAATAGAACCAAAAGCACTGTAGTCGGTTTCATGGTTGGCCTCCCAGGCTTGGAGCACTCAGGCTGCAAAACAAGAGCGGGTCCTATTTTTGAAAAGATTCCACCAGTCTCCCTTTGCCTCCTGTCCAGATTTTAATATTCTTTATGGAAAAATCTTCTTTATACCTCAACACATTTATACTTAAACCCATTTGCACTTACTTTTCTTCAAGTTGTAATAAAGAATGGCTTTCTGGCTTTATTATAACTTGCTAAACAACGTGAATTTGCCCTGTGAATTGAAACCTTTGTTTATAATTTTAAAACCTAAAATGCAAATTAAAACAAAGATAATATGCTTTGCACATCAAACTGTCAAGGATTTTTGTCTGTTTTCTGGTTTTGATTGGTTTTGTTTTCATTTAAGAAGTGATCTCATCTCAGCCCTGGTGAGTTTGCTTGTGACATAAGAACTCTCATATCCCATTATTGGAATGTAAATTGTTACAAACTTTTAAGAAAAAAATTTGGATATATGGCTCAAAAACTTAAAAATGTTTATACTTACTGAGTTAGTAATTGATTTATAGGAAAATGTCTTAAGAAAATAATCCAAAATAAAGGAAAATGTTGTATTAATGACATTTCATTGCGATACCCAATGACATGGGATTACGTAAGTAAATTTTTGAATAATCAAAGGTTGGCATATTAATTAAATTATCAATTAAAGTCATGTTTTCTGATGTATTTCTAATATAATCCTCAATTATATAAATCTCCTTAAGTGATTTTCCACTGATCTGCTGGCTGGATTAACTGATTCTCTCTGCTCCCTCTCTACAAAATCTGGATGGCATCCAACCATGTTTAACAGTCTTCTCACTTCAGTTCTCTCTAGTTAAATTTGAGGCTTATAAATATTCAAGTCGCTTCCAAATCTGTTTATGGTCATTGGTGTTGTGATGTTAATATATAATTTTATTAAACATTATATATAAATTAGTGAAATACAAAGAAAAGACAGATTAAATTTCCATGAAAACTAGGTTGAATGAGCTGGAGAAAAGGTGAGCTGCTAAAAGATTGTTGATGAATTAAGTGAGAGAAAAATAAATGTAAAACATTAGGAAAAAAATCACAAAAATCTCTAAAGTCATCCATACAGATTATTGGTGTGTTTAAGTTTTCTTTCCATCAATAAGGGAGGAAAGAAGGAAGAAAGGGAAGGAGGGAGAGAGGGAGGGAGGGAAAGGAAGGAAGGAAGAACAAAACAAAGAAGAAACCATAGGTGAAACACTATGGATGTCACTTAAATGAGAAAGAATCTGGGATTGTAATGCCTTGGCTCTACATCACAAGATTGGCAAATGATTATATAGGTTTACTTTATAAATTGAAATATAATATTTACAGCATTTTAAAATGATTTCCTATGTGAACTGATGTTTTTGATTAACTGTTCAAAATCTCTCACCACATCACCATATCCAATAAAAAGGATTCTACAGTATATATTACATACACACACACATACCTGTTAAATAGACACATGCTCATGTGGTATACATATTTGCATATTTATATGCATAGGAGTGCAACAAAATTAACAGGTAATATCTCAAGATAGTTGATATATAGGTGCTTTTTGTAATTTCCTGCCTTTTCCAAATTTGCTACAGTATGCATTTGTACTATTATGCTCAGAAAAAAATGTACTTTAAAATCTTACTTTCAAGAAAACAACCACTCGTTTTTTATAGTTTAATAATTTAGGTTGTATACTTGGAAGGAAGGAACGAACCTGTGATTTATTGTATCTTTATCATGCTGTAGGCACATAGGCATTGTGGTAAGCACATACTGCAAGATATTAAGAATTCATTTAAAAAAACAGCTCATTTAGAAACCAGTATAATACCACTAGCAAGAAATAAAATTGTACTTGGGCTCTGTTTTCATTAAAATATTGCTACATTGCTATATAGCCCTGATACAATCTATTGGAATTTTGTTCTGGGTTTGTTTGCTTATTTTTTTCTATTGACAGACTATTGTCTTTGCTTACTAAAATATCATATATGTTAACATTTCATAATTTGCTTAGGTGGTAAATAGTTTGTTTTATCAAAAAGAATGCTATGAGTTTATTAAGAAAATCATTTACTTAGGAAATACAGCATAAATTCTTTTTGTTCTACACGTGAGTAGAGCAGATTAGACTTTGTCAAGGTATTGTCTTATTTCCTGCACAATTTCCAACTCCTAGAAAGCACCTAGCACACAATAGACGTTTAAGTAAACTCTCGTTAAATAAATGAATTTTTCAAGAGAATGCATTGTTGTATAATACTTAGTAATAGAAATACAATGACTCACTTTATTTTTAAAGTAAATTAATGCACACATGAATATTATTTAAAATTGTTTGTATTAAGATAACAAACCTAATAATAAATTTTGTTATAAATATGTTCATGCCTGTTCCTCAAAACCCACCCTGTCTTTTCATGGAAAAGTAATAGAAAGAAAAGAGACAGAAAAAGGAAACATGAGCTCTCAGGAGGCTGGCTGCTTGCAGCTCTGACAGCAATTCAAGAGAAGTACTATCTCCACCATATGCATGATGAACTCTAGGCTTAGAGAGACTAACACTTTGTTAAAGATTTTACAGCCACTAAAGATTTGACCAAGATCTTTAGAACTTCAAATGTTCTTTTCCTTAAACTACCCAATTTCTTATCAGGATTTGTGGACTTTGGAAAGTCAAATTAGAAGTCAGAGCAGGGTGAATTATTATGTTAATAGCTTGGTAACCTCAGTGGCCAGTAACAGCCACCTTCACCTTGAACATACACCTACCAACCTCTTCCCTACCCCAAAAAAGTGAGTTGGTAAAGGCATTTCTTCCGGTGCATTTGATCCTTCTGACCTTTCCCTATTTTTTATATGCTCCTGTTGTCAATCATCCTATCTCTGTAGGCACATTCCTTCAGTCACTCTTTTGGCTTTTGTCTTGGCAGACTTTCTGTCTCTTGACATGATTTGTACAATAAACTTCTCCCCTATTGTATTTATATATCATTAACCTAAGCCGCACCCCCACCCTGCACATCCACCACTTCCCATTTTAGGAGAGTTTTATTGTCATCCCCTGCATACTTCCCCTACTGTTGCCTGGCCAACCTCCTCTTAAACTTGCCCCTTTTTTTCTTGGGCAGGCGAACGGAAAGCTACTGAGTACACAACTGATGGGCATGAACCAGGCTGTGTACCCTGCCAAGAAGGGAAGGAGTACACGGACAAGGAACATTGTTCTTCTAAGTGCAGAAGATGTAGACTCTGTGATGAAGAGCATGGTGAGAGTCTTAAAAAGCAATCAAGAGACCAATCTTGACACTCCGTGTTGAATCATATACAGTTTGAAATTGGGACCTGCTCTGGGGTTGTGTTGACATATCCGAGGGGAAGGATGGGTTGGCTATGGAAAAGCAGGACCAAGTACTGAGCTAGTCACTGGTCTAGACATTCATGAGTCTAGGCCATTCGTCCAGACATAAAAGAATGACTAAATATGAACCCTGGGAATAGTTATTCAGCTCCAATCAAAACACCAATAATTTTTTTTCCTGCCTTGATTTATGCTAATATGATGGCTCTTGTTCATGGCTAGAAAGAGCTCAGAAACCTGTGGATAAAAGGACAGAGAAACCTGAGAATTAGGTGGGATGCTCCCCCTTCTTTGGGGATTTGGTTTGTCCTGACATTTCCAGTTGGGGACTTGAATTTTCATGGATATATCAATCTATTCTGAGGGCCCAGATTAAAATATAACAGAAGTATTTCTAGTTTTGCTTGACCTCAAGAAGCCTCTGGTCATAAAGCTTTTCGTGTTTCCATTCAGGTTCTAAAGCAATATTTCTCAACCCTGGCTGTGCATTAGAATTGCTTAAAGAGCTAGCTAAAAAGCCAATGCTTAGGTCCTGCCTCAGGGCAGTTAAATCAGAATCTTTAAGTGAGGGCCTTGGCATTGGTCTGATTGAGCAAGTCTGGGGTAGACCCTAACATTCTGCATTTCTAACAAGCTCCCGGGTGAAGGCAGTACGGCTGATGCACAGGCCACACTTTTATAGTTAGGCTCTGGGCTGGAGGAACGGGAGAACCATCCAAACAAGGGTGGGGCTTGTCTTGGCTGTTGGATTGCCTGCAGACTTAAAACTCTGCTAAATGATTGTTGACAATTTCAACCTGGGATCACCTGTTTTGCATATAAATGCCTGTCATCTTACTAAAGGTGTGATGGTGTGACTGTTGATGTAAGCAGTGCATTTCAAAAAATCCACGCAGCTCCTGCCCATCATCTTCATAACCCATTTGCAACTAGCTGCTGTAAAATTAATAGTTTGCAAATTGATTTTCTAGGCTTCGAAGTGGAAATGAACTGTACCCGGACCCAGAATACCAAGTGCAGATGTAAATTAAACTTTTTTTGTAGCGTTCCTGAGTGTGAACACTGTGACCCTTGCATCAAGTAAGTTTTAGTTTTTCTCTGATTTAAACACTAGATACACCTTGAGAGATACCGTCTTCCTAGAGGGAAGCCACACTGACTGAGAGTCAAGAATTATGGTTTTAGTCTTGCTTTGCTTCCAGGCAACTAGGTGACCATTTGCTCGTTTAAACATTGTTGAACACTAAACATTATTGAACACTTTCTGTGCCCATGACGCTGGCAGCTAAAGCTAATGATGTGCACGATTGCTGATGCAATCTAGAAACATGTTCCTGGCATCCAGGTATCAGTCTAGAGGCAGAGACAGTCAAGAAAAGCCATGGTTATTGTGTGTCAACACCATGTGACAAGCCTCAAAAGATACTTGTGTTCAGGGTGTTAACAGTTAAACTGGAAAAATTTTTCATCTCTGCCTAAAGAGATGGGGGTGAAGATATGACACATGGCTTGAGTCTTTTTCTTTCTTTCTTTTATTTTTTTGTTTTGCCCCTACAAAGCTGCAGAATGGCTTGAGTTTTGAAGGAAGAAAAGAAAGAGCATTAATAGGTGCACATGGATGGAAAGCACATTTTAGGCAGAGGCTGCAAAAGGATAGTAGAATCTCAGGAAAACAGGGTATGGAATGTAGGCAAGACTGAGAAGGAGTCAGGGCTGGATTATGAAGGGCCTTGTTTATGCAAAAGAGCTTGGTTTTGGCCCAAAGTTAGAAAACTTGATTGTGCATTCTCACTTTTCTGCTGATTAACTGGGGGAGTATGAGCATATCATTTAACCTCCCTGAGCTTCCTATGAGTTTTGTTACTCATAGGAGGTACGAGTACTTCCTTTGCACCCTTGAGAGTTGATATGATTGGATGATATTACTCCTCAGCTACTGTTTCTGGACAACAGTTTGGGGGCATTGAGTGATATATTTACTTGTTCTCTCTGCCTCATTTCTGTGAACATCAGGTTGGGTAATACTTGTTATAAAAGTAGCTTTTGCTTTGTAAGATATTGTTTTATATAAATGCAAATGTTTAGGATTACTATTCATTTGCTTCTCCTTAAACTTGTAAGGAGAAACTTACAGGAGTTTCTTGGGAAACTTTTAGGAGTTCATCTAATAGGCTGAAGAAGTAGGGATATGATGGCTTATGTCTTCTTGGCTAGAAAAACTTATGTGCAGTTGCTCTAGCCTCTCTAAACAGTAGTACTTAGAGCTACTATTAATAATAACGATATTTCTTATTAATATGAATGGTATTAATAGTTCGAAATACTTCATAATCTTGATTTAATTTTCTTCCCATGATAACATCTTGAGATAGATAGTATTATCTCCATGTTATTGATGAGATAAAAAGCTCATGGTGGTTAACTGACTTCTCAAGCTCACTTAGTTAAGAGGCAGAGAGAGACAATCTGACTGTCAGTTATTGGCAGTCTGAAGAAAATCCCACATGAACCCCTGAATCACCTAATCATCACATGATTTTAAAAGTGGCAGTCTCTAAGGACCAGCTGAATAGCATCTTGGGCACTGGTTATTGTCTGGCCATTTTATTGTTCTATGGGAATATTTTGAAATTGCTATTGAGAGCTAGTTCAAGCCCTAGTATTTAAATGTTCCATTTATTACCAGTTTGAAGTTTATTTTTGTGTCTATTTCATGCTCTGTTTTATGTGTCAATATTTTATTTCCTTCCTTTAACATGCTTAACATCTTAAAACAAAGAGCTACTCCTTAAAATTTTTTTAATCCCCACATCCAAATTATGTTATTGATTTGGAACAGCTTTAGATGCTAATCTAGAAATATTTGGGAGAATATATTTCCCAGAGATGGAAAGATGGATAAAATGGCCCCTAATTTATAATGTGCCATTGAAAATTATATAGGAATCATTCCACCAGGCCTTTTTAAATTTCCCCTGTATTTTTTCCTAGGTGTGAACATGGAGTTATTGAGAAATGCACACCAACCAGCAACACCAAATGCAAAAAGGATGGTAATTATTTCTTTTTATGGTCATATTCTCCTTTCTCCCTCCTCCATAGTAAAATATGAAGAAAAGCCAATCACTTCTATTATTTGAGAATTTACATTGTTTGCTCTTAAGGAATGCTTATTTTCATATAACATGTCCAATGTTCCAATATGCAGGATCCAGATCTCACCAGCTATGGTCGCTTAGCCTCCTGCTCCTGATTCCAATAATTGTTTGGAGTAAGTTCTTACTTTGTTCAAACTACAGATTGAAGTAACTTGGGAAGTAGTTGTTTACAAAAAATTTCCTTCCATGTCCCACCTGTAAAAAAGCTACCAGGTTGATAGATCTGCTGTATTGTTAATTTCCTGCCACTGAATGCACCCTTGAGAGTTGATAAAATTGGATGATACTATCTCTCAGCTGCTGTTTCTGGACAGCAGTTTGGGGACATTGAGTGGTATTCTAATTTTTCATATGATCAAGGGTTCTATGTAGCAGCAGAGTTGGCCCAAATCAGAAGTAATCCTTGACTATTCATTGAGATCTCACCATGCAAAAAGGAAACACAAGGAGCAAAGGCATTCCCAGGAAAGGCAGTACAGGGAACAGTTGATAAACTTGTCCCTCTTTGTGCCTCTTCTCCCTTAACCAAGCTTCATGTTTTTAATTCTCCTCCTTCCATTAAAATACTATGGTGACACATTTTATGCAAGAGTAACTTAATAAACTCAGCAGATAAGCCAAAGTTGGGTATAATCATAATTAGTGTAGAAAAATCCCTTTAAATAATTCATAAAGTACAGGGTCACACCAATTTTCAATAACTCAGAAGCATCCGATTGTTCCTTCTCTGTTGAAATAATTCCTTCTTTCTTCAGTTCAGCTGAAGATAAAGAGGTTGCCTTGCCTTTAGAGGTTATTTAGCTAAAAATACATTCGCAATATTTAAAAACTATAATTGTGCTCACGGACTTACAGATTCCTTTCTTCCATCTCATACTGACTTCAAGGCACACACCCATTAAGTAGTACACTTGAGTTACGTGTGAGTGTGGGTACTAGAATTTCTGGGCATTAAATGCCACTTATGGCAAGTTGATGTTGACTTTCATGTTCTTCTGTGCCCTGCGGTAGCCCAGCCACCCACCTCCTTGCTGGTGGTGGTCTGACAGTGAGAAGCCATCCTTGTGCTAGGCCAATGGGTGGTAACTAAATGACTCAATTAAGATAGGACCTATCTCAAGAACACTTGAGTCAGCAGGGTAATAATTCCAAAATGGGCATAGCACTGCCTCTTGTGGTGTTTGGCCATTCTAAGTTTCAGCAAGATTCTCCTTCCTCCTTCTTATACTTAGTGTGAAAATATGTTCTCCTGTGCATCCTACAAGGCTAAGACCTGAGTTTGATAAAAATTTCTTTGATCTTTCAGGACTGCAAATATACTGTAAAAAAAAGTGCTGCAATGAAAAACATGACCGCTCTGAATCTACAACACAAAATCCTGTAGGTATTGAAACACACATCAGCTTTCTTGAAAAAATAGGGAAATTAGTAATTCAGTTTTTTATTTGTTACTTTCTTTTAAACAAACATGTATTGTGTTTATGTGTGTATGAGTTAAAGGGCATCAAAGATTAATTAAGATAGGGTGCCCAGTTTATAAGTAAGCATCTACAGAAAAGCTCTCAGAATCATCAAAGGGGAAAATGAGAGTGTGCTTGAATGTGAGTTGAAAAAAGGATGTGGTCAAGCTCCATGTTCCATGTTGGTGTTATCCCTGTAGAGGGCCATCTTTTACCGGAGCATGGATTCGTTATCCAGGCGTAGGCGAAGAGATTGCTCTTAAAGTCCATTATAAAGTCACTGCTCAATTTTCTCCAACCACTTGTTGACCTTATCTCTTGCCATATCTTTTCCCAGCATGGATCAGACATTTCAAATAGCAAAGAGATACACTGGGAAGAGAAACCAGTTCTACTTAATTGAATGATTTTCTCATTTGGGGCCAGGGTTCAATGGAAATTAGGGGTCTTTACATCAATATAGTACAAAAAAATTTCAACTTGAACCATTTCTAGTGTCAAAAGTAAGAATAGTTACAGTGAAGAAAATTTTAGAAGGATTATGTTTATTGTTTATTTTAATGAGTCTATACGAAAAATAATCTTAGCCCATTCTGTGAATTCCTTGGGTTCCTTAATATTATAAAAAATAAGACAATATTGCTAAGTTTCTGGCAAGGCTGGAAACTTTCAGAATCAAAATTGAATGGTGAAGGGATCCTTCTTAATCACTTAGTCCAGTTTCCTAATTTTATACATCAAGCAACCTTTTATACTTCCTTCAGAATGAAAGAAGAATTAGAAGATTTACATTTAAAATATTCTAAATATATTTTTATTTCTCTCTCTTCCCACTTCCATTTTTTTTTCTCCTCAGGAAACAGTGCCAATGAATTTATCTGGTAAGGCTTTTATCATTTTATTTCATAGAGATGGGTTTCTTTGGAGTAATGGGCCAATTTTAGAATAAAATAATGTTGCCTGATTTCAGTGACATGTTATGAGATCTTGCTATTTCTTGAGCTTACAGTTCTTCCTGCTCACCATGAAAGGTTTATAGGCAGTTTGTTTAAACTTGTAACTGATACCCTTAGTTAAAAATAAATCAGGTAACAAAAGGACACTATATTCTCAAGCTTAACAAATTTCATTTCATAACCAGTTAGACATATTACAGAACTCCTGCCTAAACTGACCTGGAGGTTAAACTAAACTGTAGATGCAGTTATTATTGGTGTACCCAACTCTATAACAACACACATCATTCTATTCAGTTCTGTTCTTTAATAAGATGATCATAAACTCTTTGCCTATTTTTTTAGGTTTGTGGGTCAGTGATCATCAGATCCATAAGGCATGTTAGAGGTGATCTTTTCCACTCCTTTTATTATATAAATGAGAGAAGAGGATACAGAGATGTTTTATATATAACATTCAGGTTATACAGAGGGTGACTGGGGACATAGCAGGAGTTGAAATTAGAGGTCAAGCTTGTTTTGTTTCTGTTTTTCCCCAAGCAGCTCTTTAGATGTCTAGGACTTACCTGTATTCTTAAGTGCTATAAAAGAAGAAATAAATGTGGTTTTCAATGATGGGAATTTCATTTAGAAAAATGACTTTTCAGACTATTTTCCATTTTTCAGATGTTGACTTGAGTGACTATATCCCGAATATTGCTGAAATCATGACAATAAGTCAAGTTAAAAAATTTGTTCGGAAGAATGGTGTCAATGAAGCCAAAATAGATGAGATCAAGAATGACAATCTCCAAGAAACAGCTGAACAAAAAGTCCAACTGCTTCGTACTTGGTATCAACTTCATGGGAAGAGAAATGCCTATAACACGTTGATTAAAAATCTCGAAAAAGCCAAACTTTGTGGTACTGCAGAGAAGATTCAGGATATGGTCTCAAAAGACATTACTAATAACCAGAAAAATGAAAATGAAAGCCACCCCTTGTTCTAGAGTGAAGAACAACTGAGTTCTGAGTATGTGCAATTAATATTTGAAAAGGTCTTAATAGCTGAAGACTGTAAATACTGCTTGGTTTTTCACTGGGTGTATTTTCTTTTTTCATTTATTAGATTTTCAGAGCCAGTATATTTACAGATTTTTAATATGTCATGATTCTGCCTTCAATAATGTTTAAAATCTAATTGGGAAGATAGACATGGTCAAGAGTAAATGTCATGGCATGTTAAGTACACAAATAGGAATGTATACAAAGGATTAGGATCATGCTGTAATATGTGACATATGTTTTTGTAGATATGAATGTGATTAGTATGTGTTAGTACAACTGTATATCCTTAGGCTTACCCCATTCCATGAATTAATATAAGCTATGCCAGTTTGTTGAAATATCAGTCACTGGATAGGCTATTTTTCCTCTAAGTTACCTCCACAACTTCATAATAACTGTAGAGATTTTACCGTATTTCTAAACTTTGTTTACAACTCTGAGAGGTGCATATTCAGATAAAGCATATATATTTGAATGTAGAATTTAGTAAGGTTCTACTTCAAAGGTCATTTGCACAGATTACTGGAATTTTATTGTGCACTATTTCAATTTTGAGTTTACATGGAAAACAGATTAAATTATAATACTTGAATATATTATAGTTGTTTGCCATTTTATTGGATCCAAATAATCTACTTCTTTCTCAGGTACCAAAAGCATTTTGAGCAGGAGAGTATTACTAGGGCCCTGCCACCTCTCTGTTCATTTTCTCCTTGTTGATCAACTTGATGACCTAATATACCCCCAAACCTGAAAGTATCACCAAAGAAATACTTAATGATCCACCGAAAGTCAAGACTGCCCTTAGAAATTCTAGCCTGCTTTGGAGATATTTACTGCTCTTACAGAAGGTAGCTTTATGGCATGTCTAACATCAAAGATGATAAGATAGGCCGGGCCCGGCGGGTCATGCCTATAATCCTAGCACTCTGGGAGGCTGAGGTGGGAGGATTGCTCGAGGTCAGGAGTTCGAAACCAGCCTGAGCAAGAGTGAGACCCCATCTCTATTATAAATAGAAAGAAATTAATTGGCCAACTAGTATATACAGAAAAAATAAGCTGGGCATGGTGGTGCATACCTGTAGTCCCAGCTACTCGGGAGGCTGAGGCAGGAGGATCGCTTAAGCCCAGGAGTTTGAGGTTGCTGTGAGCTAGGCTGACGACATGGCACTCACTCTAGCTTGGGCAACAAAGCGAGACTCTGTCTCAAAAAAAAAAAAAAACAAAGATGGTAAGATAGATTCTTATTTTCTCCCCACTGCACAAAATGTCTGGTAACACCCTGTGTGTTCTCTTCTGCTACAAACAGCAGCTTATGCATAGCAAAGGTAAAAGCATCAGGTTTTAGGAATTGCTCGTGTTATCCCCTGCAGGTTCTTAGACAAACAGTTCCCTTCCTTACTGCTACTTTGTTACTTACACATTTAAAGATCTTTGAAAGTTTGTATTACATGTGAATTTTAATAAATACTATTTATATTTATATAGATGTAAACTGAAGATAGTTACAAACTGAAGTAGATACCTCGAATCACCTGAAGAGCCTCCATTGATGAAGGAATTTTTTCCTCTTACGTTTAGAAATATAAAATATAGCATATAGCTAAAAATATTTAATTAAAATAATGTTTTTGATATTTCTGGTTATCTCTTTTTTGGTGGGGGATTGCTTTTTGTTTTTGTTTTCCTTTGCTCTAACTACTGCTAAATGTAACTTTTTAATGAATCTTTAATGCTTTCTTTGGTCTCTTAGGAGGTATTTTTTAAATTTTTGATTACTATGGGTACATAATAGTTGTATGTATTTACAGGGTACATGTGATGTTTTGATACAGGCATACAATGTGAATTAATCTAATCAGGATAATTAAAGTATTCATCACCTCAGACATTTATCATTTTTAAAGCTCTTTTAGTAGTTAAATAATTTTCTCCATGGGTTACTACTGCCAGGAAGACCTCTTCCAAACACCAGATGATTATTTGTTATACAGGATTATATTTCAGACACTGAAATGTAGATAAGAAAGTACAGATTTTAAGGGGTAAGATTTATTGGTAATAAAGCTAAGTGATGATTTTGAAATATTCTTTCTTGAGTACTTTCCATTCTAGCTACTTGGTGAACACTGGACCATCCCTCTTTTTTAAAATTTAATTTTAACAATATATTTTACTTAACCTATTATCCCCAAAGTATAAGCATTTCAACATGTGATGAATATAAAAACTATTAATGAGATAATTTACATTTTCCCCCATACTAGGCTTCCAAATATGGTTTATATTTTATTTATACTTAAAGCACATTTCAGGTTGGAGTTGCCACATTTCAGGGGTCCAATAGCCACATGTGGCTACTGGCTACTATATTAACCCTTTGCACTCGCTTGCTTTTTTCTCATTATCTACTTGACATTATCCACACTCGACATCCGAGTGCAAAGGGTTAAGATAGCTCTAGTCTATATCTTTGTTAGGGTAGGGCTAGCAGCCTTAACTCTATCACTAGTTCAGCCCTACTCCTAAATTCTGGCACTCCCTGTGTCTTTTCAGTGACATCTTTTCACTCTAGTTGGTTTGAAGTTCAACATTTCCCACCCCTACATTAGCTTTGGAAATTATTCTGCTTATAGTGCTCAGTAATTATTCTTTCCCTGCTTTCTTTACCTTGGAATCTTACCTCCATGTGCACATGGTATTCAACTAAAGACTCCAGAGGATCTCTGTACAGATCTGGAGCTTTTTCTATATAACTCCCTTCCTTGCAGTACTCTGTGTTCTGTGAAGTGCAGCAGCCTCAGCCTCCTGGACTCCCTCCCACCTCTGCTCTTCAATTTAGCGAGATTACTGTGCTTTGGATAGGATCCCCTCCTATGCTGTGGTCTAGAAAGTGCCTTAGGCAGAAAGTCTGAGTGATCATAGGGCTCATTTTATTGGCTTTTCTTCTCTGAGGGATCATAGTTTTGTGCTGCCTGTTGTCTAGTTTTCTACTTGTAGATAGCAGGAGGGCACATCTGGTGATAGTTATTCTTCATGATGCCAGAAGAGGAAGTCCTACTTTGCAAGGCAAAATTGAGTTAGAGAACATCCTGTTCCCACTCCAATGAGCTCCAGCCAAGAACCTTGAGTTCCTTTGGGAGGAGGGCAGTTGAGAAGGTCTTTGGGCTTTTCCCCTGTGGCTTCACCTACTGGCCCTAAGCATGGCTTCTCCCTTGTCAACAATCACAGCTATGTTCCCGAGTAGAGGTGGCCTCATGGTCTAACATCTTCCTCATTCGGGTGAACCTCTTTCTGGTTCTCTTTGTAGTGGGCATCCTGGGTAGGGATATCACCCAAAGGTCTCCCATGAGCTGCAGAAACGAGGCTATTTGCAGAAGGAAGTCACAGATCACATGGTGAGCATTGCATACTCAAACATCTTGGTCTTCCTCATTGCTATGCCCATAGAGTTCTTCAATCTCTGATTTGATCAGACATTTTTTAGCTATTAAATCATCAGTTTCTGTAAAACTATCTGCATAGTGTATATAATCAATGCAATTTATAATTTTTTCTATGCTCACTCCTGAATGATAATTTATCTGGGTTTAGAATCCTAATTTTTTCTCAACACTTTGAAAATATTAAACCCCTGTTTTCTTACATCTGTTGCTGTTGATGAGCTGTCTGCTGTTGCTCTAAATATCCTTCCTGTGTAGGTAATCTTTATTTATTTTTCCCCTGATAATTTTTTAAATTTATATATAAATTTCAGAATATTATGGGGTACAAACATTTTGGTTACATATATTGCCTTCATTTTTAAAGCTTCCCCTACCACTTTCCTTCTGTGTTCCACAGTTTCCCTCCAATGAGCTTCAGTGTGGATTTATTTTTGCTTAATCTGTTTAATAAGAGTAAAATTTCAATCAGAAAGACAGGGCTATTGTTCATCATTTCTGGAAAGTTTCCAGCTGTTTTCTCTTTGAATAATGCTTCTCTACCATTTTCTATTCTCTTCTTCTGAAACTTATATTCTGTTGAAACTTCTTGAGTTATCCGCTAGGTCTCTTAATTTTTTTTAAAGATAAAATTGTCACTGTTATATTTTGGGAATTTATCATTACTGTCTTCAAATGAACTATTTTATTTTTTACTAACTCAGGCTAGCGTATCCACTCTATCCACTGAGGTATGCATTTTGTTTTCTATATTTTTCATTCTTAATATTTCAAATCCTTCTTTTACATTTTCACTTGCACATGTTTCATTTCTTCTTGTTTTTCATTGACAATTTATTATAATTTAATATATTTTATTCCACAGTTTATCTCTTTGAGGATCCTACTCTTAGTTGTTTTAAAGTTCTTTTTAGGATTGCTCTGTTGCCTTAATTTTAGCAGCAGTGATTTCATGCTGATTTTGTAGACTGGCTTCCCTCATGTGATTTTCATATCTTTTTGAACTTTGTAGGTTCATCTTGAATGGCAGATTTTTTTCTATTTCTTTGCATTCACCTCTCCCTGTCTAGTAATAGTTCTGGGTGTTCTTTTACCAGATCTTCCAGAGTCTCCAGCTCTGAGCCAGGATTTCCAGAGATATCTTGGGGTTCATACCACTTGGTAATATCAGGGCCATCACAGATTCATTTGTGCATCTGGTAGCAGCTTGGCTCAGCTATTTATTGATCATGAAGTCATGTCCAGGTCTTCCCAGCTCCTTAGGCCCATGGCTTTATATAAGCCATAGTCCCAGGCAGTGTTTGGTAGTAGCTTTGTTTTAGCTTTCACAAATCAGAAAGTTCTACCCGAGCCCCTGGTTCTAAGACAGGAGCTGGTTCCTGTTCTGCTTCAGGTGGTGCACATTTATTCTCTGCTAGACCTCTTAGGCTGTGGCTTGTACCAGCTCACAAGAGCCAAGTATTAAATTCTTAGGAATTTTGAAAACCAGTTGTTTAAGTGTTCGTAGCCTGATATTGTCACGGTGTGAGTATTCACACTATAGAAATTGTCAAAGGCTACAAATCAGGAGTCTCCACCCCTGCTCCTGCCCCCGCCCCCTGCCCCAAAAGCCAGTTAGGGGCACACCACTGGGCAGAAGTCAGGGTTGGTTGATTCAGTGGCTCAATGACATTTTTACGAACACAGGATCCTTTCCTAGCTTTCCATTCTGCAGCTACATTTGCTCTAGACTGGAGTTGGTTTCCCTCATGGTCATAGGATGGCTTTACCAGTACATCAGCATCATGATTCCTTATTCATATCCAACAGCAAATAAAAAGAGGAAAAAAGGAAAACATCTCCCCTCAAATATGGATCATATATCTGGCATTTTATCATGATTGAGCCAACTTTAGTCATTTGCCTATCCATGCGGTCTGCCACATGCTGATTGGCTCAGCAACTCAAGATCCACCTCTGGAGCTGGAGACAGGATCAGTTTCTTCTACGTTTTGTGAGTTATGGAAACATAGACCAAAATTGAAATTCTATTAGGAAAATAAAAAGGTGAAATAGATGCTGGATAATGTCCACTCTAGAAGGAAACCAGCAATATTTACCACATGTATTCTCTATGTCCCTTAAGTTGAATAAGTGTTTAAAGAGAAATTCTG